CTTATTTATAGTATTATTCATAGAATTTAATCAGATTATATTAAGCCAATCCAACACTGTGACAGGCATCTGGTAACAGAAATTTATATTGAATAGGAGGTATGATTTCAATTTTGGGAAAAAGGTAAGAGTAGAAAAATGACAAAATATTATAGAAAAGTAGGAAAATGAAGGAAATCTAGTTAATTGTTATGACTGGCAAGAAAATATATACTCTGTGCTTCTTTCTGAGCTTTACTATGTTTTATATAATCAATGGTCATAATTTTTATTTTTCCTTCCCTCCCTCCCTCCCTCCCTCCCTCCCACCTCCTCTTCTTCCAACTTCTGTGTGACTATACTGGGGCTTGAACTCAGGGCCTCATGCTCTTGCTTAGGCTTTCCTGTTCAAGGCTGGCATCTTTATCATTTGAGCAACATCCTCAATACTGGCCTTTTGCTAGTTAACTGGAGATAAATGTCTCTCAGTTTTGTCAGTCCAAGCTGGCTTCCAACTGTGATCCTCAGATCTCGGCCTCCTGAGTAGCTAGGGATTACAGGCATGAGTCTTTGGTTCCCCAGCTAATGGTTTTTACTTAGATAAAAATTAGTTGAGATTGCATGGTTCTAAATGATATTTTAGCAGAATCTATGTATAAGATATTTTTCCTTTAAAAAACACTGTAAAAGGATAGGGAAGAGAAGAGTAATAAGACCCAGCAAAAATGGTAGAGACAGAATAATTTTCCACAGTGCTTGTAGCTCACTTCATGGCCTAAATTGGAAATAAAGACTCAGGGAAAGGGCTGGGAAAGTGACCCATGATGCACAAGCAGTTGATAAGGGAAGACTAAAAGCTTCAGTTGACTTAGAGAAGTGATAGAGCTGGTAGATATGAATTTTTCAATTTTATGAGAATGATAGGGATCTGAAATAAATCTTCAGTATTTTCTTTTTAAGATAAATGTTTTAAAATAAACGCCCACGGCATGGATGGATGGCTAGTGCCTGTGTCCTGTCTGAGAGCGGATCATAAATAACACTGAGAAAAATATCTTTGGCCATTCTAAAAAAAAGCTCTTTTTAAAAACTCTTACGAGCTCGGCAGATTATATTTTGATGCATTAAGCTAGATTTTTTTTAAGGCAGCTGCAAATAACAGGTGGAGCATAGAAATTGTCTTTAGTTAGAAATAACTACTTAGGACTTGGCATGAAAGCAAATCTTAGTTTCAAAACCTGTCTGAACAACTGTGGACATATCTATGGGTTAGAACACAAATTCAAATTTAAAAAGCACTTGATGGGTTCATGACCTAGGAAAGACTTTAGTGAAATCTCAGTGTGAAAATTCAAAATTGTTTCTCAGCCCTACCATGTAAATCAGGTAATCTTTCATAAATACAAACTGTCAAATAATCAGATTTGTTTGAAATATATATATATATACACACACACACACACACACACACACACACACACATATATATATATATATATATATATATATATATATAAATTTTTTCTCTGCAGGTCCGTATATTCCAGAGCTTGTAGCTAGCTTTACTGTAGGCATTGGTTTTCCTGCTCACTAATGGAGGAGAACAGAAGCTGCATCAGGGCTAGACATGATGAATAGTCAGGCATATTCTTTATCTCATAAAGTGATTGCCTCACTACCCTGAGATGCCTTAATGGTACTTGTTTACTTCCCATTCCTGCATCATTAAATGTCTCTGTGATGTCTGAGAGTGAGGTCAAGTATCTGATGGCAAGTTGAATGAGAGGTTGTGCTTGCAAGAAAGGCTTCTGAACCCAGCTGTGAGAGCAAGGACTGAGAGAGGCAGGAGCACACACTTGATCTAAAGAGGGAAACCAACCCAGCACCACCACGGCCCTCTGATTGTTGAGAAAAGTGCAAAAAACATACATTGGAAAAGATGATAGCCTCACTAACTAATGGTGATGTGAACAATGGTGATGTACAAGACTGAAGTGAGATCTCTTATCTCTCATTCTGCATAGAAATCAAATAAAAATGATCAAACACCTTCATGTAAGACACGAAAGTCTGAAACTTCTACAGGAAAACAGAAGGAATAAACTCCAGGATACAGACACAAGAAACAACTTTCTGAATAAGTCTTCAATAGCTTAGGAAATAACAACAGGAGTTGACAAATGGGATTGCATCGAATATAAGCCTGAAAAGCTCTGCACAGCAAAGGAAACAACTCTCAGCATGAAAAGACAGCCCCACTCCAGACAGGGAGAAAATCTTTGCCAGCTATTCTTCTGAATGGGATTAATATCCATAATCTATAAAGAATTCAAAATAAATTAAGAACAAAAAAATCCAATCAAAAGGGCAAATCCTGTAAACTGTGTTCGTTCAGATGAACAAGTACAGATGGTCCACAAATATATTAAAAATGTTCACTCCATTAAGGAAATGCAAAGCAAAACACCTGGATTCTATCTAACTTAAGTCAGAGTAGTTATCATCAAACAAATTCCAGAGATAAAGGAGGTTGGGTGGGGTTTATGTGGTATATATGGAATGTAAATCAATGCAGCCAGTGGAAATCAGTATGGAAATTCTTCAAACAACTAAAAATAGTAGTCTCATTTAGATCCTTGCTATACCATTCCTGGGCACATACTTGAAGAACCCAGAGTCCACACACAATAGAGATATCTGGACACTCACATTTATTGTACCATTATTCACAATAGCTAAGTTATGAACTCAACCTAGGTGCCCCTCAATAAAAGAAGAAAATGTGGTATATACACAATGGTGTATTATTCAGCCATAAAGAAGAATGAAATTATGTCATTTGCAGAAAAAATGGAAAGCATCATGGTTAAGACAAATAAACCAGATTCTGCAGATTCTAATATCCAAGTATTACATGTTTTCTCTCTTATGTAGAATCTAGATTTTTTTTAAAGTAAAATAAGTAAAAGGAGGACTTTTGGGGAGGAAGGTAGCACCACTAGGAGGGCAGAGAAGGGGACAAGAGAGGAGGATGGTGAGGCAAATCTGATTGGAATACACTGTATACACCCACTAAACTGTTAGGATGAAATTCATTATTCTGTACAATCAACAAAATTTCACAAGAGGGAAGCCCAGCCAGGTGTGGCTGGCATAAGCCATGTCTATAAAGATATGCTGAGGCAGGAAGAGCACAGAAGGCCAGTCATGGCTACATAGACAGACTGTCTCAAAAAAAAAAAAGTGAGTACCTCCATGACTCACCTCTTTATTGAGATCTGACTCATCAAAGCCGATCAGTATCCCAGGTCTTATTTCGAATTGCTAACTTTCTAAATATCAAGTCTACTTAAAAAAAAAAAACAGAAAAAAAAACAGTACACAGTGCCTGCCAATGTAAGCATTTCCATGGCCCAAACATCATATTTGCTTAAAAACTCTGGTTTCTGGAGCTGGGAAGGTGGCTCAGTGGTAGAGTGCCTGCCTCGTACGCATGAGGCCCTGGGTTCCAATCCTCAGCACCACAAAAGCAGAAAAAGCCAGAAATGGTGCTATGGCTCAAGTGGTAGAAAGCTAGCCTTGAGCTGAAGAGCTCAGAGACAGCGCCCAGGCCCAGAGTTCAGGCCCAATGACTGACAAAAAAAAAAACAAAAAACAACTCTGGTTTCTGGTTTCTACACATTCCTAAGAATTGCCAGTTCATCCCAACACTGTACTAGCTTTTTCCCAGACTGGCTAAGAAGGTTTGGGGAAGGTACATCATGTCATGGGGGATATATGGCCTAGGATTTCCCCTCCTAAAGTGAGGGTTAGTTGAACTGGGACTTTGGGGGATGTTTGGAAGTTGTATGGAAATACCCCAACTCTAAGCACCATGCAAGCCACAGCGAGATCCCCTTGGTGGTTACCATTCTCCATGAAGTAAAGATAAAACCTTCTTCTGGGAGTGGAGAGCATCTCCCCCACGTTCTGCAAGACTGCTGTTGGATTCATCTTCACCTAGTGCTGGCTTTAACAACCCGCCCCCATCACTCCTGACTTTATAATGTTCCATAATGGATAAAGGGCCCTCACGGTGCTTATCGCTTTATACGTGCAAAAGAACCAATTTTTCCTTGCCCAACTAGCAGACAAACTGTCAGAAAAAATAGACTTCGCCATGGCGAAAACGTCTGCCTGGCACCCATCTATCATAAAGCAATCTTCTAGAAGTCTTGAAAACCTTCATTAAATTTCCTGTCTTTCTCCTGACAGTTATAAAATGGTAACGACATTACTCACGATGCAGGCATCTTCAGAAATTCTTGGTCCAATCCCTTGTGCCTCTGACAGTGCCTGTCACCTTGTCCCTGCTCAAATCCACGGAAACGTGGGACATGGTAGTATCCCTATATAGCCTTGCAGGGCCTAGCCCTCACAGAAGGTCAGTCATCTGGATAACAGTGAGAAACCTCTCTCTCCAACAGAAATGGAAGGCAAAGGTACTTTTCCTTTGAATTTCCCTGCTCAAAGACACACACACATTTAAGCTGAAAGACAGGACCTTGTCCTACTGTTGCCATCTACTTCTTGATTCCTTCTTCTTTCCCCTTTCTCTTCCCAATATACTAAGCCACAAGTATCTACATATCCATAATATGTGGGTATCAGGGATGGTGGAGATGGTGGGGGGGTGGCGAGAATGACCATACGTTTATCACCTCAGTGGATTCTCGCTCTAAGGATAAAAAAAAAATCCCCCTACTGACTTCACTAATTGAATTTCTTCAAATTGTGAAGGGTCACTTAGCAATTCACCACCTCTCAGCAGAAGAAGAAATAAAGAAAACCACCATATGCAGATGCAGAATAGACCCCTGAAGTCACAGGTATTCAGCGTTACCACCACTGGTTGCTCCAGACACACATGGGGTGACGATGGCCCATTTTCAAAGCCCTACCTGCGCTGTGTAGATGGAGGTTTCACGTGAAGCGTGACTTCAGAATGAGTGGAATCCATTCACGCTAAGTCATCATCTTACCTGCGAAAGGAACTGGTGCATCTTTATCCAGGGCTACTAGGGGTGGATCCAGAATGACTGTGTCGTTGTTCTCAGTTATAACTCCATGGTATGATGTCTCAATCCATGGCTTGTGTTTGTTGACTAGAAAGAACAGAAAACAGAAGGTCATCGTATGAATGCATAGTGTTAGCATCGTATAATTTTGCCCAATCACAGGCTCTCACCACCCTAAGGAAGAACACACAGCAGGCTAGCCCATTTTATATCTAGACAGGGGTTCAGCAACTCACCCTAATAATTCACACACAAGGTAAAAGGCAGCATCAATACCTAACACAGGGCTGGGAAGGTGGGTCAGTAGTAGAGTGCTTGCCTTGCATGCATGAGGCCCTGGGTTCGATTCCTCAGCACCACCTAAGCAGAAAAAACTGCAAGTGGTGCTGTGGCTCAAGTGGTAGAGTGCTAGCCTTAAGCTGAAGAGCTGAGGGACAGCACCCAGGCCCAGAGTTCAGGCCCACAACCAGACCCCCCCCCAAAAAAAAACAAACCCACAATTCTGTCTATAAAATACGAATCCTCTACTTCACCAAAATTCCATTATTGCTACTTCAGAATGCCCAGTGTAGGGAAATAGTAATATTTTAAAACTTAAAATTTCAAACATTAGTATCTATTAACAGCTATTTCACAATCCATTATTGATCAATAAATTCGCAGATTATGTGTATATGTAGTGGGATTTCTGATTTCAGTATAACTGGATCCATATTTAAGAGTTACTAGTACATTTTGCTTATGTGTGTATGTGTATGTGTGTGTGTACAACAAATTTTGCCCATAGGCATTGATTGCCCAGAGGTATTAATGGTGGTTAGAGAATTAAATTAACTCTATACTAGCATGAAGAGTGATCTTTCAGGACTCTAGGCATTCACACACAGTGAGACCAAAGGATGATACTCCTAGGGGAGGAGCACAAAGGTGCGATACCTATGTACCTGTGATCATATAAAATAATGTTTATCAGTATGAATCTAGGAAATAGAAACAAGAGGTTTTTTTCTTTGTCATTTTTGTTTGATTTCTGTTTGCCTAGTTTATCTGTCTTTGGGAGGGCAAGGAGGTACAAAATAGAGGGGACAAAGGATAGACAAATGCAGCAGTGGTACTCACAAGCCATTATTTGGAAAACCAACTATATACAACTTGTGAGTGGGAACAGGAGGGGAAAATTGGGTGACATTGTCCAAAAAACTGAAAACATACTCATGACCTAACTTATGGAACTGTAACCCCTATGTACATCACTTTTATAAAACATTAAAAAAGAGTAAACTTTCTAAAGTATTAACCTGGTTACTCAACTATGAGTTTCTTGGATTCTTTTAAAACCTCACATACTTTCACAGAAGTCTGAGTGCAAAGTAAAAGCTTTAAAAATGAAATAACAAGGATGTAGCTCAATGATGAAGCACTTGCCAAGCATGTGTGAGGTCCTGGGTTTGATCTCCAGTCTCACAATAAAACAAACAAATCCTAAAATAAGCTTAGCATGAGTCCTGGAAACTCAAAGTTGTTCTGATGCCAGCTCCCTCACAAGCTGCTTTCACAGTTTCAGAGATGCGGTCACATACCTAATGCCATTCACAGCAACTTGTGAGGTAGGTGTGATCATCATAAAGACAATGAAGAAAGAGCTTCCCCAAGGTGTGAGTTCCCAAAGACAACCACACGGTAATTAATAAGTGAAGAAACCAAAAGCTAATGTTTTGACTGGTTAAGTTAGGATATCCAAAAAGCATGCACAAATATACTCATATATGTATATGCATTATGATATATAACATGCATTATACTGCATATAGCATACTGCAATAGCAAAGCAACAGCTTACAGAATTGAGAGTATTATGGTACCAGGTACTATAATACTATGTTAGGACACTGATGAAGATCAGAAGTTTAGAGACTAGAATTAAGGGTAGCAGAGCCATCACCCTTCTGATCTATATGTATGTATTATAAATCACATTGTTATTTAATAGGTAATATAATTTACATGTGTGTATATATAGATATAGATATAGTTTTCAGCAGGCATGGCAAAGCAACAGATAATAGAATTAAGAGTAACTGTTGCAGAGGTTCCTGTAAAAGGTCATTTAAGAATAGAACCAATGACAGCCTCTCCCTGGACTGTCATTTTTGTCCTTTTTACCCCCACTGAGAGGTAGTCTAGTTAGGGCAGGACACATAGGTCTAGCCGGTCTCAGGTCTTGACCCCCAAGATCCAGTTCTGCTGACAGACTCACACCCAGTTCTGCCCACCAAAGGTGAGCCTGGGGAGGAGGTTCATCTCTTCTCCCACTTTGGCATTCAGACCAGTGCTTCATTATAGACCCTGGAAGAATTACAGCCACCCTGGGCTGTCCCCACACTCCTTTGCTCTTTTATTAGCCATCAACACAAATGCAATGTAAATAATTTGCAGCTGTTGGGAGAAACAATTAATCTTTTTTTCCCTTTAATTAAGCCTAGGGGCCTATTCATTAGAAATGTGTACAGAGCATTCAGCCAGGAGCTTGCCTGGAGTTTCAGATTCATTGTGCTACATGGCTTCGTGGTAGGCCATGGATCTAGAGCCACCAGGCATATTACACACAAAACATGAAACACTGATGGTAAGTAACATGCATAAATAATATAAATAATATAATATTTCTTTACCAGGCAATCTGGTAAAGAAATAGCCAAAGTTGGACAGATATGACCTCCAAATAAATACATGATAGAAAAATATAACATGGAAAGGTAAGTGTGTTCCCCTCCAACGGTGCCTAGGGATGTGTACACTAAAGTCACAATGCAACATGCTAGAACACTACTTGAATGCTTGACAAGGCCAAGTTCCCATGAAGCCACCGGCAGTTCCACGCAGTGTTAGTGAGCACACACAACAATGCAGTCGCTGTGGAAAACATGCAGCAGTTCTGTCTTCTACCAATTCTATTCCACGAGGAATGAAAACATAAACTACACAAACAGATTTAGATGTACACCATCACAGACCCTTCATCCAGAATATTGACACCCTGTAAATGAAATGCCCATCAACTGGTGAGGGCACAAATAAATCACAGTGTGTTGGGATAATGGACAGCCAGTGAGCAATAAAAGAAGGTCAGCAGCTGGACCACATGAAACATTAGTCTCCAAAAATTCTGCTGTGAAATAAAATGGAAGAAGTGGGATGTGAAAAGCTTGTCTGCTATGTGATGACATTATAGAAAATGCAAAAATCTAGGGGATGGGTCAAGACTTTTTTGGGCAGTACTTGATGGTAAAGGGGACCTGAGGAACTATCTGGAATTATGGGGGACTGTTTTATATCTTGGTCCTGGGGGTGGCTACATTTCTATGTGTTACAAATGTCCAAACATACCAACAACACACCTAAAAGGGTGACTATTACTATATACAAACCATACCTCAGTAAGCCTGGCTCAAACAAATAAACCAAAGAAGGAATTATCAACCCTTTTGTGGCTGGAGGCATGGCTCTGGTGGTAGGGTGCTTGCCAATAAATCTGTAGCATCAGAGAATGAGTTTGAGTTCGAATCCCATACCAGACGCCCCCCCAAACAACAACAACAACAACAAAGGAATAAAATAAGCATGACATAAGAACGAAGTCCTTATTCTCAGAGGGCTGTCATACTAGAGGAGAAGCCATGACAATCAGAATGTGAAAGGGAGGAAGGGTAGGGGCAGTGGACAATGAGTGGAAGTCCTAAACCTGGCATGGCAATCCATGCTTCCATCCTGAAGGAAGTAGATTCTAAGTCAGTAAGAACCAAGCAGGGATAAAGGATGCCCAGGGCTCCAGACAGAGGAAGGTGGATGAGCCAAGTCCCAATGGTAAAAAGCCTTGGCATATCATGGAGATAATATACATGATTAGGTTTACCTAGAGAACAACTTTTTTCAATGTTTTTTGTTTAGTGCTGGTCCTGGGGTTTGAACTAAGGGCCTGAGAGCTATCCCTGAGCTTTTTTTGCTCAAGCCTAGAGCCCGGCTACTTAAGCCACAGCTCTACTTCCAGCTTTTTTTGGTGCTTAATCAGAGATAAGAGTCTCACAAGTAGGGTGCCGGTTGCTCACACCTGTAATCCTAGCTACTCAGGAGGCTAAGATCTGAGGATCACAGTTCAAACCCAGCCTGGGCAGGAAAGTCTGTGAGACTCTCATCTCCAATGAACTACCAAAAAACCGGAAGTGGCACTGTGGCTCAAGTGGTAGAGTGCTCGCCTTGAGCTGAACAGCTGGGAGACAGTGCTCAGACCCAGAGTTCAAGCTCCACGACTGGTTTAAAAAGAAAAAAAAAAAGTTTCACAGACTTTCCTGCCTGGGCTGGCTTAGAACATCAAGCTTCACATCTCAGCCTCCTCAGTAACTGGGATTACAGGCTTGAGCCAGCGGCACCTGGCTTGAGAACCATGTTTGAAGGAACCAAGGCTAGCACGAAGCCAGACTGTCAGGCAGCATTCCAAACACCTAGGGATGGCATGTTTAGGAGCTACCCCCCAATTCTGGCTTTGTGGGAAGTTGAGAACCACCTCCTGCCCAGAAAGCAGCAGTTGAGAGCTGCTGCTTGTAGGCTATTATTTCTTAGTCCCTCCTGAGAATGCTCCCTGAACAAAATGCCTTTTTTGAGGGGGTCAGTTGTGGGGCCTGAACTCTGGACCTGGTCTCTGTCCCTCAGCTCTTCAGCTCAAGGCTAGCGTTCTACCACTTGAGCCACAGCGCCACTTCTGGCTTTTTCTGCTTATGTGGTGCTGAGGAATTGAACCCATGGCCTCATGCATATAAGGCAAGCACTCTACTACTGAGCGACCTTCCTAGCCCCCAAAATGCTTTTTAAAAAAAAATTATTGAGATTAAGTGATTACATAAAACTCACAATACTGTGAGTTTGTGATACTTAAAGACACAACACATCCTAAACAAAATGCTTTGCCTTTTGCATCCAATACACGGAGACCAGTCAGCTCCTGCTTTGCTCCACTGAGACGCAACTTCAGAAGAACAGGTTTCGAGGTTTTGTTCACTCTTCAGTTGCCCACCCGCACCTTCCTGGAGGCT